TTTTTTTTTTTTTTTTTTTTTTTTTTTTTTTTTTTTTTTTTGGAAGGGGAATTAGAAAGCAGAAAATAGTTTGGCTCATTTTAGCCAAAAGAAAAGGCATTGTTGCAGGTAAACAGAGTAGAGACGGTGGCTGGGGGGTCTCGTGTTGCTGGAAGATACAGGGGTTCAGGAAAAGACTCTGAAGACTCCTCAGACTGCCATGCGTGTTTCCATGGATGTGGGCATGGCTTTAGGAATGACGGAGGTGGAAGTCTGAACGTGTGCGTGGCTCATGGCTTTGGACTTCTTCCTTTTTTGGTCATGGTTGATTTTGACCTTGGGAAGTTTTATGCACATGGTAAGACTCTGAATATTGCTGGGTATCAGTTGCATCCTTTTTACATTCACAAACCGGTCTCTACTGCGTCAGCCACAGACATCTGTTAACCTGTCTCCTGTTCTTTAAATCATTTGGCGAGGAGGGAGAAAGTAAGAGGCATAGGTGTGGTGTAATAGCATTTGGCCCTGTGGCTGACTGGGGGGAGCTGTTGTATCTTAGACTGCCCTTAACAGATCTTTCCTTTTCGCCTTTTTATTGTTTGATAATTGATTTTTCTGCCATCATGTTTCCCGAAGTCCTCTTTGTGCTAAGACTTATTGATGACTTCTGCTGGGCGCTAGCATCCTCACAGTGTTTTATGTCCTTTAAATCATTAGGCGAGCCTGACTTGGCGTCTGGCTCAGATGTAAATGGGAGTACAGAGTCCTTTGAAATGGTCATTGAGGAAGCCACTACAGACTCGGCAATAAAACAAAACTCTGGTAAGATGTTAAGAATGTTTTGCAGCTTTATTAGATTCCTTTCTGGGGCATAACTTTATTGTTCAGCTGTTTGCATGTTGTCTTATTGTTTTTAGTGAAATTTTGTGTTGATATTATTCCTCCAAGAAACATGTTCGTGCACTTAGAATAACTGAAATCATATGAAGTTGTAACTGAAAATAATTTCATTGTTTGTATGATGAATCGTGGGTTCATCTTGTCATCTTGCAGAATCTCTCTTCCACCCTTTCTGAGCTATGATTTCCTGAACATTCAGTGAGAAGCTGTGTATCTTTTCTCCAGACATAGGCGCATAGTCAGAAGACATGCTCTTCCACTTTGAGATTGATGGCCCTGTTTAAGTCTAGCCCTGGTTGAACTCACTAGTGGGTACCACGAGGGTGGGAGGGCTCCAGGGGCTTAGTTTGGAAGACCTTGCTGCTCATATAGAGTTTCAAGCTGTATGTGTTCTTTCCAGGGGCCACAGCGGAAGCAGACTGGGTTCCTCTTGAGCTGTGTTTTGGAATTCCTTTGTTCAGTTCTGAATTAAACCGGAAAGTGTGTCAGAAAATAGCTACACATGGCCTTTGCAGCAGAGAGAGGTAAGAGCTTGTGTTCTTCGTCTCGGTTTTTAATCTGTCATCACTGTTGCTCTCTATATATCTTTGTAAATTCACACATTGTCTTAGGGTTCCTATTTCTGAGAAGAGACACCATGACTATAGTGACTCTTACAAAGGAAAACATGTAATTGGGGCTGGTTCACAGTTCAGAGGTTTAGTCCATTGTCGTCATGCTGGGCCAGGAGGGTGAGCAGGTGGTCATGGTGCTGGAGGAGGAGTTGAGAGCTCTCCATCTTTAGATGCAGGTGACTGGAACTAGTCTATGCCACTGGGTGGAGCTTGGGCATGGGAGACCTCAAAGCCCACCCCTACAGTGACACACTTCC